CATATTTGTTGGGTGATTGGTTTTTTGTTTTATTTGTTTACATAGTTTCTTAATGGTGATTCTTTCCGGCTATCTGATCTTCAGTAAAGGGCGGGCACAGTTGTTGATAAAGGTCTGCAACAGGCTGTTGGAAATATTCTTTGTGGCCCTTGTCTGACTCCTGTGTTTACTCCAAACTCCTCGCTGAGTTTCCCCTGTGGACCACTTGACATGTGTCGTTGTCGTACAGCTGTTGAATAAGGTTGATGAATATTTAGGGTACGCCGTAGCGCCTGAGTGGTTTCCAAATTACTTCGCGTTCGACGCTGTCGAAGGTCTTCTCAAAGTCTATAAAGTTAAGGTAGACGTTTTATTGCCATTCCATACTTTCAAACCTTTCCATATTCGATAAGTTTATATATCACACAGCGATGAGGCAGGATTAACAACTGGACGACAAGGTTTCCAGCATAAATTATTGCTGTTTCATAATCATATCAGTTTTAGTCACATGGTTTCACAATTTGTCTTAAATATAAAGTTTCTCTCTATTCTGTCTCTCCAACTTCCCTTTGTTGTCTTTAGTTGCCACTTTTCATATCTCCAAAATATAGGCGTTGTGTCATTCTGATTACAAGTGTGCAGAGTCTTGAATTGATGATAAACAATGCTGCAGTAATTGACCTGTCTGTCTCTCCACCTTACTATATTACTCTTTTTAATTCGCTCACCCTATTCCCATCACCCTATTTTGTGATTACATGCAAGTGAATGCAATGCAATGGCTGCACCCTTTTCTAGGTTATTTAACTTAACAGGGTCAATTATTCTAAGTAAATGTTTATGCTCCAATAATCTAGTTGACCCCAGTCGACTAGTTTAACTGATCTGTATAATTGACCTCCCAGTCATTACATGGTATTTGATAAATTATATTATTTTTCTTAATTGGATCAATTGGGTCATTAAGCCGACAAAGTTTACCTCTGAGACAGTTAATTGGTTGGTTGGTCGGTTTAAATGCCAACCTAATTCCAGCCTTATTGAAAACTTTAAGTAAGCCCTTTAATGTCCCTTCTTTATATGCTAGTGCTATAGAGGCTTTCAATTCTATATTATTTTCGGTATTTTCATCATTTTTATTACTAATCTTAGTGTTTCTATGGCTCTTTATGTATATTTCTGAATAAATTCTGATGATTAGTTATTCACTAGTAATACTTCTTTTATTTATTTGATTTCGTTATTTAAATCTTTTGGTTTACTAGTTGGGCTGTTGGCGCGATTATACAGATAGTTGACTGAAGATATATTTACTTGTTCTAGATGGCATAAATTAAAGTTTAAGTATGTGTTAGAGTGTGTCGGTTTCCTATGAATGCGAGTATTTAACCTATCATCTTGTTTTCGTTTCATTCTATAGTCTAGCATAGCCAACTCATCGTGTTCGTAATCTAACTCAGAAGTCAGTTGTATTCTAGTGTTGGTTTGTAGGGATTCGATTGGTTACAGGATTTCATCATGAGGTGACAGTGGTTAGAGAATCATTGGAAAGCCAACAGGGAGTACTAGACAGCTGTTTCATCCATCCTAGTTTGGGACTCTCCGGCAGTTCACACCCACTACCAAGGTTCGAACCCAGAACCTCTGGTTACAAGGCTAACGAGCTCGTAGACCATTCAGCCACTGGAACCCGTTCCAATGACCAGTTCATGAATTCCAACTTCTGCCAATTCAAGACATAGCGTGACCGCTAGTCAATGTCTTCGACGAGTATTTGTCCTCACACCCGACCTCTGCACCCTACTGGTCAGGAATTCCTACTAGAATTCCAGGTAAATACCTGCCTGAATAGGGAAAGTCACCAGTGAGCATCTCACTGATATTCAAGTGTTGGTTTGTACGGATTTGATTGATTAGTTTCAGGATTTCATCATCAGCTGATATTAGTTAGAAAACCATTGGAAAACCCAGGAGTACAGGGCATTGTTTCATCCTAGTTTGGGACTCTTAAACAGTACGCACCCACCAGGGTTTGAATTTAAGTTGTATTCCGTCTAATATTAAGTTTATTATATGTGTGAAAAATTGAGAGATATGTTCAGATTTCAACGTGGTGAATGTTTCATCCACATATCTCCACCATAACGTATGTAGTGAAACAGAAACTAGAGGAAATTTAATTAGAAAAAAGATTAAAATATGTCTAGCTTTGACATCACTAGTTCATATACACTAATATTCCTATTTAATACATCTCTGGAGATAGTTAGGAGTGAGGTGAACATTGATCCTGCACTCAAAAGTAGGACTAAGCTCTTGGTTGATTAACTAATAATATTAATAATATACTCTATTCCAAAACAGTACTTGTGATACAGAATGGAATTCTCACCATTTCCCTACAGTATTGCATCCAATTTGTACATTAACAATAAATACAATTCTACATAGATCTTGGGTAGTCTCAGTTAGTTTTGACAACAACATATTGGCATATCAGTAGCAAAGCCAAAAGTGAACAGAATGTTGTTTGAAGGTGTTAGAAAAGTAGATACTACTAGCATATTTACTTGCGTAAGTGGTAACTAAAAGGTCGAGATATACACAGTGCTGAAGAAACGAAGAAGATTGTTTTAAGTAGAGTTTGTAAGGAAGAAAGAAACAAAGCAGCACATAACAGAAAAGCGACAGAGAGAAATGGAAAAGAAATAAAGGAAAACATTGTACCTATAAATATTATGAGTTGGGAAGACGAGATCCAGTTGTTTTACTGACTATTTAATAAGTTATGAGTTTCACGCCTAATGCTTTCTTTATCTCCTAGAACACGAGATAAGTAGGGTATGGTTGAGTTTTTGTACTTGCTAGTGCAAGCGTATAGTTTTCTCTATAGGCTTCTGGTTTTGCCTGATGAGATACGGAGGGAGAGCTGTGAATGAAGAGGGTGGTGCTAGTTAGATAAAATGGATTTAGCCCATTTTTCACGAGTCCAGATATTAGGTATTCAGTTATTTTTTAACCTAAACTGTATTTAAATTTCGAAATAGACTAGTTAAACAAACGAATTTGGTGGTGATGGGATCACCAATATCCCTAATAGCAACAGACATATTTATGAATAGTTGGGAACGTAAAGCTGTTATAATGTTCAGTCCGGCTCTTAGGTTGCGGTGGAAATATGTAGTAGACACATTCACTGTGTTGAAATTTATTTTTATTTATTTTTGATTTACAGCTTGATTTCACATCGTATTTTTGATACAAGTATGGAATTTTCAGCATGGATATCGGTAGCCCAAATTTTCCAGGCCGACCATAGATATCAGGTGTGTGTCGGCAGGGGATCGAACCTCGGACCATGTGCATGGTCGGGGAGAGTCCTAACCACTGTGCCACCGACGCATACACAAATCTGAACATATCCCTAAGTTTTTCACACACACACACTCGATATTACATGTGAAATCAATAAGGGTAGGATCGAAAACTAGGGAGTAATGGTTAGCTTGTTTTAGGGTTCTTTGGCATTACGCAGCTATGACCCTGTTGGAGAGGGGGGATCAAAATCCATTCCACCATTCTACTAGCAAACACATATATTATTATTGATCTTATCCTGAAAATGATTGATAGAAACTTTTGCAAAAAAAAACTCCTTTTTAGCAAGAAATTTAGGATATATTTGTATGTGTGTTTTTTTGCATTCAAAAAAGGAACTGTACTAATCAATAATGAGAATTAGGGTCAACTATCTAAATATGTATTTTATCGACCAGCATGAATCGTTCAATGTTTAAGTAACACAAACGAATCAATGGGTCAAAATGTAAAATCATTTCGTCTTCCTTGGTCAACACAATCGATAATCATAATCATGAATGAACGAATAAATGAATGATTGCTAAGTGTTTCTTAAATTTAGAGCAAATGTTTAGACGTTTTCCCCCTATTCTCGCTGAAAAAATTGATTTCTTGGTTGAAACGAACTAAATTCAGTGGATATGTACTTAATGTCTTTGAAAAGACATATGTATGGAAGTTCTGCTTGCTTAATCTATGAATGGAGTTCTCAAGTTTAAGTTTGCAAGGATTTGATCGATTTCAAGATTGATCGATCAGAAGTCGACTTGGTTGCCAATTAGCTATATTGTCACGAATTGGCAGAAGCTTGAAGAGATGGAACATTGGATACCATTCCCCTTGGTTGAGTTGTATACGAAGTCGTCTTGGAACTTGAAAGTCTTTAGTTTGAACTTTTGGTTAGATCAGGGGTGCGTACTGATGAGGAGTCCCAAACGAGAACAAAAACAGCTGACGAGTTCCCTCCTGGTTGTTAAAGTGAAATCAGTTTCTGATCAATCTTTAGAAGTAAAACCGCCAGGTTGGATTAGATGTCAAGAGCCTCTCAATAAAAATAAACGTGCCTCCTAGGGAAAGCATGCAAAGATACACACTCACTAACAGTCTAAAAGAAACTCTTATCCCCTAAAGTGTTTCAAACCATTTTCTGCTGGTTTTAAGTGGCTAGTAATGCTTAACTCAACAATTTTCAGTTCGGTAGTGTTGAACATGAAGTTATGTATGGTAAGTTCGCAATATCATAGACTTGGTCGATGGAACAAGTAGGTCAGAAGCGACTTGAGATTATTTTCCTAACTAATCGATAATCTCTATTAGGCAGTTGAGACTACAGAACAATGCTAGTAACCGTTTGGTACCTATTCTAGGAACAAGCATCGTGTCGTAACTTTTATCATACTGACTAGTTTAAGTGCTGCTTGTCAGGTCTGATTACAAGTTGACATCAGTGTCACAACCACTGGGAGCGAGGTAACATCTGGCCGGCTGTTCTCGTCTTGGTTATGAACTTCTCATCAGTCAGCAATCAAAACACATCACCCTACTCAGTCTTTGGTTCAAAATCCTGTGATTTGGCCACACCTACAAACCAGTCTCATTGGTGACTATCTGTTACACAGAAATCATGAAAACACACACTATTTTTCATAATAACTTACCTGTAAAATCTCCTTTCTCAGCAGTAGTACTACATGTGTAGAAGGCTAAATTCTCTCCAGCATCTGTATCTGTACAATGTTCAAGTTCACTAATACTCGCCAAATGTTCTGCATATCTTTGTGCATCCACAGCTAATTCTTCATCGAGTATTAAATCTGGACATCCATGTAAAGCCCGTAGACTATAATAAAAATAATTAAGAAAATTTCTTTATTTTGAAGTTAAATCTCTGATTGATATTAGTTAGAGAATCACTGAAAACTAAGGAGTACTAGATAGACATTTTCGTCTTAATTTGGGACTCTTCAGTAATATGGGAATCAGACCCAGGATCTCCAAGTGACCACTGTGCGTCGGTGGCACAGTGGTTAGGACTCTCGCCGACCATGCACATGGTCCGGGGTTCGAGCCCACGCCGGCGCACACCTGATATCTATGGTCGGCCTGGAAAATTTGGGCTACCGATATCCATGCTGAAAATTCCATACTTGTACCAAAAATACGATGTGGAATCAAGCTGTAAATCAAAAATAAAAATAAAAATAAAAAAAAATACTAAAGAGTCCCACAGAAGGGCAAAACAACGGTCAAGTGCTTTTCGATTTCCAGTGGTTGGTTAGAAGTTGAGCTATGTCGTGAATTGGCAGAAGTTAGAATTCATGGACCATTGGATCGGGTCTCAGTGGCTTAATGGTCTACGAGCTCGCCTTGTAACCAGAAGGTCCTGGGCTCGAGCCCCGGTGGGTGCGTGCTGATGAAGAGTCCCAAGTACTAGGACGAAACAGCTGTCCAGTACTCCCTGCAGGTTTTCCGATGGTTCTCTGAATGATATCAGCTCATGAAGAAATCCTGTAACCATATGGTTCTTCAAATGGAATTAATTAATTCCCTGTGAACCAACACTTGAATTTTTTGACCAAGTGAGCATTGGAAATTCACTTAATGGAAACTATGTATACGGATTAACATTTCATTATGTATCACACAAACACCTTTATGAGGCATCAGACAACTGTTTTGACCCGCTTCTAGACTCTTTAAAAGTATTTCTCGAGATCAAAAGCTTTAGTTTTGTCATGAATGACAGTTTGGGACAGCAGAATCTAACTGATACTAATTTAACGCGCTAATCGCAACGTCAGGCTTCGCAGGCATAGTGTCAACGACACGCATAAGCAAGAATAGATGACAGAATGCTGTCAGGGAGTCCTGACTGTTCCAAAACAGTTAAAATGGTTGAGAACGATACCGAATGAGCATTATATTTTAAAGGGTTTTAATATTCACTGATGATAGGTTTGAAGAACTTAATAACAGTGACAGTTTCGTCTATTTAGAAGGGGTTGGAAAAACAAACGGCTAGCAATCAGTTGAAAATTTCACTTTCAAGCTAGTTTTTTTATTGCTCCCTTGGGTTCCTAGTGGAACATAGGGCTTCAACTGCACGTCTCCACTTGCTTCTGTCTTCCTTCTGCTGTACTTTTCACCTGCATCCATGTTAGTCCATACTGTTTCAACTCCTCTCTCTTCACACAATCTCCTCCATGTCACCCTTGCACTGAAGACCCACTCGCCGCTTCCCTTTCGGCCTGGTTCCACTCGAGCAATCGCCTGACGCGCGCGCGATGTCACCCAGCGGCGGCCTCCTCAGCGAGCGAGTATCCAATCCATCTCCACTTTCTCCAGCATATTTGTTGGTTGGCGATTGGTTCTTGTTTTGTTTGTCTGTTTGTTCCCATAGTTTCTTGTTGTTGGTGATTCTTTCCGACCCAGCCATCTGATCTTCAGTATAGATCCAGCGAAGACAGTTGGTTGTTGATAAAGGTCTGCTATAGCCTGTTGGAAATATTCTTTGTGACACGCTCGCCAAGTTTCTGATCCGTATAGAAGAACTGACTGACTTGACGTTTATGTTGAAAATCCGACCGAATTCTGCTGTTGATGCTGGCTGAGTGACGAAGATTTCCAGATTGATTTCAGGCTGATGAATGTGTTTCTCGCCTGCCTTCCCGATTCTCGTTCGATTTGACATCCTCGTCCATTCCGACTTCCTGTAGTAGAGACAATGCTCCCTAGTTAAGATAAGTGAGTGGAGTAACCTCTTTCAAATCCCTCCCGTTGATGGTGATTGGCGCTGGATGTTGCTGCTTTTGTTCTTGTTGTTATTGGTTGGTTATTTGCATAACCTCCGTCTTCTTTAGGTTCACTTGGAGTCCTGTCTTCACCATCTGCTTCTTCGACCAGTTCGTCGGTTTCCGCTCTTTCAAGCTAGTATGGTTAAATAATGAGATGGAAAGATCTATCTGCGCAGTTAGTTTTATAACAAACAGACACTAACGTTGCATTTGTTCGCATGACATCTGGGCTTTATGCCTAGTAATGGAATTGATATAATAACTTGACCAACAGTTTGGTCAAGTAGCTAAACTGGTATATTGTTGTCGTCTTAGCAACTAATAGACGGCTAGTTTGAGCTCTGCTGAGACTCATATGTGTTTATATATTTCTTAGTGGTACTGAACTCGAGTGAGTTTTCTATCACTTACATAAGCTCCATGCTTATCATTTCAAATAATCACAAATCTTCAAACACTATGACATACAGAATTGAATCACATAACCTACCCTTTTGTATCTTGATGGTTCTATCCAAGACTTGTTCAGACAGAATCTGCAAGTTTTAATAAGTCTATGTCACAACCGAATACATATTGTAGCAACATGATGATGGAAATCACTGTCGTTCTGGTGCAAATATACTGAGTTAATTAGCATCAACGTTTGTAACTGTAATAAGCTTGATGAAAAATGTTTGTGTTTTTCAAACTGTTGGTAAGGAAGGCAGGCATACAATTAAGTTAAAAGTCTGATGTTAACATGTTGGAAGCGTTCAGCAGAAGACATGACTGCTGGTTACCTTCAGCAAGGCATATCTATAAATTGTAAGGTACCAATATACCCCAGCGGGAAATTCGAACTCATATCAACCAGTACTGCAGTTAGAGACGCTACTGTTGACCTATTTGGAATCGGTAACTATCCATTCCAAGCAAGCTTTTACAATAACTCATAATTAAGTTTGTGTTGTCCATCGAGATGAAATTTATTCATATTTTTACATAAAAAAACGTGCTGTCATCACGGAAACAATAACTGTGATTAAAAAAAGATGTAAGTCGAAGTTTATTTGTATGTTTATCAGAAATCAAGAAAAATCTCCAAACTCTAATTTCTTTTCTTGTTGATCTTCATTATCAATGTTTATCTGCAACATGAATGGAGCTGTCGCCACCCTCAAGAGTCCTACCTGAGCCAAGTAGGTTCTATATTTGCATATGGTCAACTGGTATAGACTTGAGCACTTTTCCAACTTATGAAAATTGTGTCCACTTTCTACGAGTAAGGGGTTTGTGCCATTTTCTTGAATTTCGGTATACCCTATTCCACCTTTAGACAGAAGTTTTACCATTTCGGAACCGTAATAAATTCCACGTGTTGGAGGATTTCATCATGAGCTGACATCATTTAGAGAACTATTGGAAAACCTGCAGGGAGTACAGTATAGCTGTTTCATCTATCCTAGTTCGGGACTCTTCATCAGTGCGCACTCACCTCGTCGGGGGTCGAGCCCAGGACCTTCTGGTTACAAGGCAGGCGAGCTCGTAGACCATCTAGCCACAGGGACCCAATCGAATTTTTTTTTTCACGTTCCCCAGTGGAACATAGGGCTTCAAGCTGGAGGCTTGAATTTTCTGTAGTAGCGTTTGCTTTTACAGGATGGGGTTGCTATCCTCATGCCCAACCTTCCCTCTGTACCAGTCTTATTACTGACTAAGGGAGGTAAAGGAGTGCGTCCGTGGCCGGAGATCGAACCCCGGACCGTATTCATGGTTGGGGAGCTTCCTAACAGCTATACCGCCGACGCCAATCGAATTCTAACTTCTGCGAATTCGTGACATAGGGCGACCACTTAGCTATGCCTTCTTCGACTAGTTGCTGCCTCACTTTCAACCAGCCGCACCTTACTAGTCCTATTCAGGCCATGACCCGAGGTTCTAGGGGGAAGCTGTGACCGGTAAGGTGCAGCAGATTGAAGGTGAGGCAGTAACTCATCGAAGAAGACATAGTGAAGTGGTCGCGCTATGTCATGAATTGGCAGAGGTTAGAATTCATAGGTTGGCCACTGGATCGGGTCCCAGAGGCTTAATGGTCTGCAAGCTTGCTGGCCTTATAACCAGAAGGTCCTTGATTCGTCCCTGTTGGTGGGCGCGTACTGTTGAAGAGTCCCGAACTAGGATGGAGGACTCAGCTGCCTAGTACTCTCTACAGGTTTTCCAATGGTTCTCTAAATGATGTCAGCTCATGATGAAATCCTCCAGCCAATCACACAAATCAATACTTGAAAATTAAATGTGCATTGAGTAAGTGTCGTTGGTTTAAAGTTGGAATGCTTTCCCAATCACGCACATAGTTCGGAGCATGATCGCTAAATGACTCATTCCTAAAACCCATCTAGTTATCTAGACGACAGTGAGTTTGAGAAAAGAGGCAAAGTCAGGTGTCAGGCTGGTAGTCACACCTTGCATTAAAAAAGACACTGCTTGAAGCCCTGAATTCTACTGGGAACATATCACAGTAACAAGAATGAAAAATAACTATTGAACGGTTTGTGATAATAAGTGAAATTCATTGATCGAATTCCCTCATTATCAACATATCAGAGTGCAAATTAAGAATGACAAATAAGTGAAATATATCACGTGCGAATTCTAAGTGTCTCATGTAATAACATCCCTGTAACCATAATAATATTAATAATAATTTAATCTAACTTGATGACGACAGTAGGAATTTCAATAAATCGAAAAAATTCGAAATTATTTTTGTCATTGTTGAAAAATAATAATGACTAGTTTGGCAATGTGCTTGTTCTGCATGTTTCTAGAAGAAGCATAGTCACACATAGGCGCAGCTGTTTTAAATCTATTACTCACTATTACTGTCTAAATGTAATCACTTTTTGCAGACTTAAATCCCTGCTCTGTGACGTAATCGCGTCTACACCTAAAGGATCCAAGTTAAAACAATTAGAAAAATTTATCACTTGTGTGCTTAACAATTTCTGAAAGCCATTATTTAGATGTTTTTCTTACAAGTATATGTAAATAGGCCTTATCGTTATTTTATCAATCAAATGGACTTTAGTTAGTTTATTACAGTCGAGTTTTTCTGGAGGAATTACAGCAGTCATTGAGAGACTGTCAAACCAAACAACATTCTAGGTGATGCTTGCTTCTTATTGTGTTATTTACATATACCGCTTATCATTATGGCTAATCATGACGCTACATTACAGATTTATACGTGTATAATTTCTATTTAACGCTTATATTTTATAAGTAAACCTAATTCATGTAAGATTTAGCATACGTTTTCATAGATAATTATAAAATTAACAAAAGAAAATAAATACAAATTATATCAACTTACCGATTATGTTCAATAATACATTCTTCATTGAACTCTTGATCAATTTCACCCGCCATATTCAAATAATAAGCGTTTAAAATATTGGAGATAAGCAAGTCACACTTATAAATTAAATAAGTTATGTTATACTTCTTAAATAGACTATTTTGTTTCTATTTTGGGCAGATATCAGTTGCACAAAGGAGAAGCTAGTTAACCAATAGAAATAAAAGAGAAAAATAGGGGGTGTTTTAATTTTCTGCATTGAATAATTTGTTTATATTGTGATATTGAGTTTGTTTTCTTATAGGCTCAATTTCAAGGTCATTGTGACACACTGTTCAAATCCTGATATAACTTTATTCTCATATGATTATTTATTTGCGTAGTTCATTATGGTTTTTTGATTTGTAAATATATACTTGTTGCATAATTACTAATTATTCTTTCTGTATTTTTTGATTAAATAAATACAGTAATACTGTTCCGGTTCACATTGATGAATTCATGATTGTTCTTCTTCGGCTAGATGACTTATTTGTTCATATGAAGATCAAAGCAGGCAGGCAGGCAGGCAGGCACTAGGAAGTCCATTCGATGAATAAATTTGCATATTTTACTAACTTGCGTTACTTACTGATGGTGACCTAATTGAATGGGAATTAGTTAGAGAGCGAGTGAGCAAGAGAGAGGTAGATAGATAGATAGAGAAACGTCATTCAGTATCAGTATTTTAATTAAGTAATTACAGCAAGATTAATACTGATTTTTTATGCAGTCAAACGATGATTATTATTTTTTTAAGAAGCTGACTGGAAGCATAATATAAATGAATGGTCAATACAACGAATTGAGGTAACTATGATGACCCCCAGCACCCCATAGAGAAGATCGTTCGGAGACTTAGCGCGTCACCAAAAACATTTCTAACGGCCTAGTGAAGAGTTCTGTCAGCAGCTGCCTTCTCTGAACCCATATTGAAGATCAGATGGCTGACCAGAGGAACAAAGGGCTTCAGCTGCACGTGTCATTTGCGTTCGGTTCTCTGCTAACGTTTTCATCTCACTCTACGTCTGCCCATATGCTTTCATCTCCTCTTCACATCACCTCTTCTATGTCAACCCTCACAATGGTGACCAACTCACCGCTTCCTACTCGGTTTCTACTCGCAAGTGACGGCCTGACGTGTGACGTCACACATTTGATGGTTTGTTTTCTCAGAATGTGACCAATCTACATCCATTTCTTCATGCATATTTGTTGCACAATCGGTTCCTGGTTGGTTTGCTCTCAGAGATCCCTGTTGCTGATCTTTTCTGGCCGGCCATCTGACCTTAAGTGGTATTGAGAAAATATATCTCTCGATGAAGACGTGTAGTTTGTTTGAAGTGCTTTTCGTGACGCGTCAACTTCCTGATCCGTACAGTAGCAGGGACTTCACATTGGAGTTGAAAATCCGGATCTTTTTTTTTGATGCTGAGTGCTGTTGACCTCCACACAGACTTAAGAGAAATGAAGGCTTCTCTTGCTTTCCCGATCCTCACTCTGATATCCTTATCAGTTCTGCCCGCCTGCAGTTGAAACGATGCTTCCAGGTCGGTAAGTAAAGGAGGTTGCTTCTTTTAGATTTCTCCCATTTATGCTGATTTTTGTCTCTGGTTGTTGGCCAGGAATCTTCATCATCTCTGTTTTCTTTATGTCCAACGGAAGGAAGGTCTATCTGTGATGCTTCTACTGCCGACTTGTTGCTTTTTACTTGCATATCTTCCATTTTGTGGGAAATCAGACATATATAATCGGTGAAGTCCAGATCCTCCAAGTCTTTTGTGTGGGTCCATTTTATCACTGTTTTCTCGCTTCCCGCTCTCTGTCGCATTACCCAGTCTACCACCCACAATCAGGAAAATCATTGGAGATAGCAGGCAGCTAGCCGGCCTTGTCTTACTCCCGTCTTCACTTTGAAGAATTCCGTGAGTTTCCCGTTGTGGATTACTTGACATCCAGCATTGTCGAACAACTGTTTGATGAGATGTATAATTGTTGACGGCACCGCATAGTAGCGAAGTAGTTTCTAAACCACCTCTCAGTCGACTCTGTCTTCTGAAGGCCTTTCCAAGTTCGATGAAGTCGAGTGAGGTAGACAGCTGACTGCCATTCCAAGCTCTGTTCAATGATGATCCATAGTGTTACGATTTAATCGATGCATGATTTAATGCTCCTGGATCCAGCCTGTTTCAGTTGAAGTTTTTCATCCGGGGCTTGTTTGATTCTCTTCAGGATGATGTGGCTTAGTGTTGTGCTTGGGATAGACAACAGTATAATTCCACGCCACGTCTTGCATTGACTTAAGTCTCCTTTCTTTGGAAGTTTGAATAAGTAGCCGCTCTTCCAATTCGCCGGTACCTTGCCCTCTTTCTACACCCTCCCCATTAGTGGTGTCATCAAGTCGGCTGATGTCTCTGAGTCTATTTTCAATGCCTCCGCTGGGATTCCGTCTGGTCCTGCTGCTTTTCCAGTTTTTGGCATCTTGATCGCCCTCAGAATTTCTGTTTTCGTCAGAGGGTTGATGTCCACTGGTAGTTGTGTTTCCGCTGTTGTTATTATTGGGCGCGTTGTAGGTGGCGGTCGATTAAAAAGTCTTTTGAAGTGTTCAGCCCAGTGTTTCCTTTGCTTCACCTCTTTGATGACTGACTTAACATTTCTATCCTTCACTGGCCTTATTTATGCTGATCTTTTCCCCGATAGGAAGTTAGTTGTTCGGTAGAGTGTTGCGAGGTCTCCTTTTGCCTGAAAGAGATGGCTTACTAAAAAGGATTAGCGACAAGCAACTCATGCAACAGCAAACCAACCAAGAACCTATTAACTAAGAAATTTACCGAAGCAAATGGAGATGGATCAAACCAATGCTGAGGATACAGTCGAGTAATATTGCTTACTAGGCCCTCGAGCACGACCAAATTGGGAGACGAAGACATGGGTTAGGTAAGATTTTAACATGAAGAAGGTGTTGTGAAGAGGAGATGAGAGCTAATGAGCGGCTGAAAAGACTGAAAGCGATAGGATGAAATGGAGATTTGTTTTTGAGAACCAGTGTTTCAGTTAGAACCCAAGGGATTAGTACTATAATGATAATAATAACAATAATGATAGAGAAGATGTGAACTAGCTCTTAACAGGATGTTAAATAGAAACAGCGCCAAGTGACACATTACACTGACTTACTAGTTCTTTTACAAGCGCCATTACATACTAGGTAATCCATCGAGTAAAATTCTAGAATGAGGAGCGACGTGTTGGGCTTCTGGAAGGTGAAATACAGGACGTCGTGTGAATAGGAAGTGAAAGCACGTGAACAGTCATAATGCCCCGTGAATGAAAGCTACAACAGAAAATCGGTTGGTACGGAGTTGTGTGACTATGGCTTCATGATTCACTCAGAACACAATTGATGAATACTATTAATAATTGTAATTTAATGATAAGTTGTGTATCTGCGTCTCAAAGCATATTCACAACTGGTAAACAGTGAGAAAGACGGATGAATGACCGCAAATGAATGCTGAAATTGGTGACTTAATGAGCAGTTAAAGATGAAGTAATCAAAAGAATAAAATAATTAGGACAACGATAATTTGTAAAAGTCTTATTAGGAGGGGGAACTGTCAGCCTTTTTTACTTCCATTTAACGACGGCCGAGATAAGGGAATTAGCAGCACGAACATCTTCTGCACACACAGACTTGGATGACTTATTCTTCAGCTAGATTCCAGTAGTTCCAACTGTATGCAGAAGATTAACTCGCAAAGCAAAATTAATATTGGTCACAATGCGGTGAATAAGCCTAAATACTTCATTAATATCTATATCTATATGTACTGAGCTATGAATAGGTCTTGTTTGTTGGAATAGTTGTATTATCTGATCTCGCTGATTTAATTGCAAAGTTTTCTCCGTCTACCTCCTAGATAATATCTCTCTTCAGCTCAGGTAGTTAGCATGTGAAATGACCTCAATAAATTCGCCATGAATGGTTTAATTGTATCTCCTGGTGACCACTGTCATGAATGCTTGTTAGTGATGATTATTGTCTTTGAATAGGGGCTTTCTGATCCTATGATTTACTTTTTATTGGCTGGTAAATTTGATCCTTTCTTTGCTTTCTTAATGTTTCAGATCGTATGCAGTCGATAAGGTCAAGCAAAATAAAGTGAAGTTGTCATATTATTATCTCGCAGCCTTTTATAGTTCAGAATTAATTTTCTCTTCTTTCTCAGTTAGTTGACAGAAAACGATGAACATATGAATGTCTATTACTGATTAAACTATGAGGTGAAAGGATTCATGGTTTCAGTGGTAGTTAGATCTAGACATCGGTTAGCCGTTGTATTTTAATTAGGTAATACACTCGATCATTTGTTTCAAGATTGTTATTATTATTATTGCTCCCTTGGGTTCCTAGTGGAACATAGGGCTTCAACCGCACGTCTCCATATTCTTCTGTCTTCTGCTATACTTTTCGCCTGCATCCATGTTAGTCCATATTCTTTCGACTCCTCTTCACACGATCTCCTCCATGTCACCCTTGCACTGACGTCCCACTCGCCGCTTCCCTTTCGGGTTCCACTCGAGGGCTTTGCGCGCAATGTCACCCAGCGGTCTCCTCAGCGAGTGTCCGACCCATCTCCACTTTCTCCAAATTCATATTTGTCGGGCGATTGGCTCTTGCTTTGTTTGTTCCCATAATTCCTTGTTGGTGATTCTTTCCGGCCCGGCCACCTGATCTTCAGTATAGAGCCAGCGAAGACAGTTGTTAATAAAGGTCTGCAACCTTTTGGAAATATTCTTTGTGACCCGCCAAGTTTCTGATCCGTATAGAAGAACTGACTTTACGTTTGTATTGAAAATCCGGATTTTGTTGGTGATGCTGAGTGACGAAGATTTCCAGATTGATTTCAGGCTGATGAATGTGTTTCTCGCCTTCCTGATTCTCGATTTGACATCCTCGTCCGCTCCTCCTGTAGTTGAGACAATGCTCCGTAGATGAGTAAGTGAATGAAGTAACCTCTTTCAAATCCCTCTCGTTGATGGTGATAAGCGTTGGATGTTGCTGATGCTGCTGTTG